AATCCGCTAGAGATGCAAAACTCATTTGCAAACTTGTGACGGATTATATGGCAAGGGAGAGAAGTATCATCCTCGCTGTGGTCTCAGCCCAGAATAATTACAACAACCAAATTGTGACGGAGTATGCAAGGGAGCGGGACCCGCTCGGCTTTCGTACGCTGGGCATCATTACGAAGCCAGATACGCTCGATCCAGATTCAAGTATGCAAAAATTTTACCAAGAGCTTGTGCAGAAAGATTATGGCAACTTCAAACTCGGTTGGCACATGCTTCGGAACCGTGGTTATAGCGACAGGGACTCTTCAACCGCTGAAAGAGACCTGGTAGAAGACGAATTTTTCGAACAAGAAGATTGGAAAGCGATGCCCAAAGGAAGGGTTGGCATCAAGAGTCTGCGCTCCCGACTCAGCAGAATCCTCCTTTCACACATATCCAAGGAGCTTCCTCAACTATTGTGCGACGTCGAGAGCGGAATCGCACATTGTCAACGTCGGCTTCAAGAACTTGGTCAACCAAGGCACACGGTTGCCCTGCAACGAAAACACCTCCACGATGCCAGTAAGAAATTCAGCGACCTCGTCAAAGACGCCGTCAATGGAGACTACTCGGACCCTTTCTTTCACGATTCTTGCGAGGAAGTCGGCTATAAGAGACGACTTCGAGCAGTAGTCCAGAATGTGATGCAAGAATTCACAGAAGAGATGCGCCTGAGGGGCCACACTCTCCGCCTGGTTGACAACAAATCAGACTTAAAAGCCTTAAAGGAACACACCTACACAGAGATCAGAACACGAGAGGAGTTTCTGGAATATGTCAATATCCGAATGAAGATCAACCGCGGGACGGAACTGCCGGGAATTTTCAACCCGGGCGTTATTGGCGAGCTCTTTCGCCGCCAGTCCGAGCGCTGGGAGGAGATTATCCATCGCGCTCGAGAGAAGATGCTACGTGCCACAGAAGACATGATCGGTCATGCGCTTGGCCATGTCACTGACCCCAGAACCGCGCACGCCATCCAGCTCTATCTAGTCCAGCCGAGAATGGACGAGATACGTAAGGGGTTCTACGAGAAAACGAATGAAGTACTCAGACCGCATCAAAAGGACCACCCCACGACGCTCAATAACTCGTTTATCAAAGATCTCCAAAAGAGACGACGTCAGGAGACGCGAAGATTGATGGCCGAGAAACTTGCTAAGTTCTTCGGCAAAGATCCTGAAGGAGAAGGAGGTTCTGGCCCGGTCTACAGTGGAGAATTCAATATGCGAGCCCTCCTTGACTCACTTGTCACGCAGACGGAAATTGACTTTGATCGCTTCGCCTGCCTCGAAGCCACAAATGCGATGGAGGCATATTACAAGGTCCGTGGTGATGCTCTAGATTTTGATAGACGTCGTCGCTGCCCGTGATGGTTGACTGACCAGATTATTTATTATTTAGGTCGCATTGAAAACCGTCATCGATGCATTCAACATGTACGCCGTTGAGGGCACCCTGTTGAAGCAGCTTCCCGATCTTCTGCCCCGCGAGGTGGTGGAACAGCTGGATGAAGACACCTTGGCGGATGTAGCAGCAGAGTCGGCCGAATCTATCGCGGAGCGGGCCGACCACGAACAGAAGTGCTCGACTCTGCAACAGTCGCTGAAGACGCTACAACGGCTGAAGATCACAAGGATTCCTGGTATGTGGAAAATCCGCGTTTTTCGTTTGCATCACATTTCACCGTTTTTTTTCTGATGGCAATTTGGGTAGAACTCGACTCGGTGCAGAAACCAACACTCCCACTGGGCCCTGAAGCTGGTGTTGATTCCAGCAGCACTTCTATTGTGGAGCCCAACACTCCAAAGGAAAGGGAGAGAGCAGCCAGCAAGGCCTCGACTTCTCACGACTCTGCTATCGGTATAGGCCATGAGGAAGTCAAGGGATAGAAGGCCAGCCGGCCTGCGGAGAAATTTACAGATCATATACCTCTGTAGGGAGGTAAGACGTTGGTTGTCATGTGAAGCTCTGGAGTCTTGTTTGCGATAACTGATTGTATAACAACCATGCCGATGACTGTCTGTCCGTCGCAGTCCCCCATAACGAACTGTCTCTTTCCCATTCTGGTCCACCTGTTGGTGTTATACACAGCGCTTTTTGGTGCTCAGCACCAACGAAGCGCTTGGCCTTGGCACCCTTTTGGGACCACGTCCTTACCGCTCGACTCAGGCATCAGGTGCTTCAATCACTGGTGCCGATGACAACGATTTGATGTCCGACCTCATGGCCAAACGACTAGCACACATGTACAGATATAACACATCTACAGCCTTCTCTGCTCGCCCGCCGGTAACGTGGACTATCTTTCTTGACGACCTTCGCCATCGATTCCTATTCACCTTCAACAGGATTTTTCATATTTTACTTCTGATAACTGTCCTCCAGAGCCTCGTAGTCGATCCTCTCAAGCCCCTTGTCGTCCCAGATCTTCTTGATGACTAGAGCAGTAGAACCCGCAATGAACATGAAGGTGGTCATAACGGCAAAGCCCATAATGTATCGGGGGGCATCATGGGCAGGCCAGATGAAAGACCCATACACGGAGGCCAGGTTGCCTATCGAAGATCAGGGAATCGGCATTGCTTACCGAGGTGGTGGCAAGACTTACCGAAACCATTGATGACGGGGACTGAGACAGCACGTCGCTCTCGACCCGGGAACATGGTGACTTCCCAACTGATCAACAAGGGCACGCAGCTCTGTACCCCGGCGAATCCGAAACAGATGAAAGCATAGCGGACGGGGAAATGCATGCTAGCTGCGCAAATAATGAACGAAACCACGGCAAGGGTGGAGCAGCCAAGGACGTGGTATGCTTTCTGTCCAGTGTGATCGGCTGAATAACCCGTGATCAGGGTAATAGCCAAAGTGACAGCGTAGATGGGCACAGTCATGACTGAGGGAGGGTCAGGCGATAGGGACAACATCCAAGACAACTGGACTTACACTGCACCATGCGACCCTTGTAGCCCAAAGCCCCCATGAGGGTTGGGAAGAAGTACGAGACCGTACCCGAAGCCAAGATCGTGTTCAGTGAGAGCATGAACAACTTTGATGATCAGCATCACCCTGTGAAAGGAATACCATCGCTGCTTACCCACATCTTCCAGTCCTTGATGGACAGGAGGATGGCTTTCCTGTAAGGCATCTTTCTGTCCAGATCCTCCCTGATGATCAAGCGAGTGGTGGCTAGCTTCCTCTCCTGCTCGGAAAGCCACTTGGTATTGGTAGGGTAATCTTTGTATCGTCAGCTGACGATTTCGGCCTCCTCATTCAGGGTAATATACCTGGAAGGAGGAAATATGCAATGACACCGACGACGACAGTTCCCAGACCTTCAATGATGAACAGCCTGATCAAAGTGAGCAAGTGCTTTTTGACACTGGATGTGATAGATGTCTCACCATTGCCACCCGCGCACACCTCCGACACCTTCCATTCCATCAATAATGCCCCCTGCGAGCAGACCACCGAAAGCGCCCGCCAAGATTGTGCCGGTATAAAAGATCGCAATACGTTTCGACAGCTCGGAGGGCTATGGTCCATCAACATAGGGAATTCACGAGAGCCATGCAGGGGTGACTAACCTTATACCAACAGGACAGGACGAGCATCACACCAGGGAAGAAACCGGCTTCGAGGAAACCAAGAGCGATTCGAAAAGCGATCATACCCCCGAGGCTATCGATACCCTTGACGGCCACCGAGACAGCTCCCTAGATACGAGTTACAATTTCTGCAAAACCAAGACCTCGATACCAATCCACTGACCCACACGATCATAATGGTTGGCAAGAAAACACTGGGCTTCGTTCTGGCCAGGACCATAACGGCAGGAGGTTCGAACACCAAATACGCCTAAAACCAGTTCAGGATGTCTCTTCACGAGTCTGTTATGCTCTGCTTCACTTACCACGAAGAAGATAGAGAGAACCAGAGAGTAGTCGGAAGAGCTTAATTTGAGGTCCTCTTCCATACCTCCAACCTTTGCATTCTGCACCAGGAGTCAGTCGCAACCTGTGTGTATACCGCACTGCAGGACCACCCACTTACACCAATATTGGTTCGGTCGAGGTAGTTGAAGACGTACATGGCCCACAAGATTGGGAGGAGATGCAGGTCGATCTTTCTCACCAGCTTGATCTCCTCTGGCGTACCCTCGACATACTCTCGACTGCCTGCTTCGACAATCTTAGGATCGTCATGGAGGGCTAGCTCCTGGTCGTAATGCTGGATGCCCACTTTATCGTCAAGAGACATGATCGTGGGAGCGTGAGGTCGAACGCTTTCACGGTCAGTATCGATTTCGATCGAGGGCGGATGTTCCACAAAAAGTCGACATGGGACCAGAGCAAGTCTTTGTAGGTCGCCATGGGGAATTCACCTCGGGGCCCCGCAAAAATTGGTAGTGAACACATTGGCCGGCTGAAATGGACCCAAACCACAAATAATGAGGTGCAGGAACGGGAAATCACCAGAAGGCGGCGCATTTTCAGGTCCACGGTCGGGTAAAAGCGGCCATATATCACCGCGCCATACTTGCAGGAGCTACTCATAGTACAGGATTATCAGAGAATCCCACAACCATGTCTGAAAAAGGGCCAAAATAAGCCGCAATTAGCCGGCGCAAAGGTCTTAATCCAAACCCTTCTTACAAGCGAGCAAGCTCGAACCCAGCCAAGACCGGACAGAGTGGGTAGCTGGTGCAGATCCACGGCTTCTCTGGACAAAGAGCGATTGACCTCGGTTGGTTGAACCATCCTCGTTATTGGCAGCTGGCACATTACGAACCTCGACCCCCGCATTTCGACAGACGAGTCATCGATAAGGCCATTTTCCTCAGTCCTCGCTGATTGCGGCCTTGGGAGAAAGGGGCGCGGAGCAGTTTATAGCTCCTAGTTCTTATTCTACTATCGCAGCTAATATCACAGATTTATTATTGGATACTGTGCGCTCGTTTTTTAATCCAAGGTTGTCGGAGTGAGTCCTCCCCAAAACTCCCTATCATCGTAATTGAAGAGCGACATAAAGATGTCAGATGCAGGCATGATTGTGGGGAGATCATGACCAGTATTTTCGGCGGTCAGTGGTAAAATGACGTCCAAGTTGTCTGGATCAAGCCCAAAGATGGCATCGATGTCGGCTGCGAGTTCCTGTAACGGCCGCTCCGCGACAAACGGAGACTCTCTGCTCCCAAGAAAGGTGGGCAGGTCAGTATCGCTCGGACGAGACTTCATGGCTGCGGCAGACTCCGTCGAGTTGGCGATGGGCCGGGAGGAATCAATGCTAGGTGAAGACGGACAGGTGACGGCAGGGGTCTGGATATCATGATCGCGATATATACGTCTCAAGAGTCCGTCGAGCGCAGATGAGTTGCGGACGGCGGGATGTCTGTGATCCGACGAAGCCATCGACATACACCTGATGAGACCGCGGATCAGGTGAAGGATCGCCCTTTTCTGCGATGGCGGCAAGGGGACAATCACCGCCGCCTTGAGTAGGAATACGCCCGCGTGGCTGAAGAATTGAAAGAATCGCAAGGGAAGATATTTTAAAGTCTGGGAAGCGAGTTAGATTGGTGTGGTCTTCTTGAGGGAGATATAATCGATGAATGAATGAGTGATTTCTTTGACGCACCCCGGAAGGTTGAAATCTGCCTATGGCCAAGCGTAGCACATCGGCCTGGTGGGTAAAGGAAGGTAGTCAGTCATCTGAAGAACCCCGAAAAGGGGGTGATTCATGGTGTATTATCATACCCCTGCATTCATTGCCTCTATAATGAAACGGGCGTCGACGCTGCCCATAAGGCCTGTTGGAAAGTACTCTAGTGGCCGACGACCGTCGTTACAGCTTTCTGCCCGTTGCATATGCGCCTGCAAGGAGAACGAGTAGATATACAGGCGCAAATGGTGCTGTGGAAGGCCGACTTTGTCAGCCCAGGCACGTGTGTTGAGTCGTCGGGGGAGCGTAAGGGAGGGGAGGGTCAAGTGCTCACAAATGATATCCAGACGCATTCGTTGACCGGATATGTTCGCCACGGTTTCTTCTGCCATCTATTGCGGAATGCGGACAGAGCTATTAAAGTGTCAGATTGGTATAGAAACACGCCGGCAAAGGAATATTGTCGAACGGTAGGCATCCTTTCTTACCTTCTGTAAATTCATCGATGTGCTTATAGTAGTGCTCTGCTTTCGCGATGGCGAGCGAGTGGCTTTTGGAGGGGTATAACAGGTCATGAGCGTTGCTCAGTACCTGCGTTATATGCATGAGACACTGCAAGTATGCGGCGTAGTCATCTTGGAGGCCCTCGATCTCGCGCATCTGGGGGAAGTCATCGGCTGGATCGAAGTGCAGATGCTGGATCGTCATCCCAGGACCTGTCGAGTGACGCTCGCCCGTCAGCTGTGTATTCTCCGAGTACACAGGCTAACCAAAATCTTTCCGTTCGCGCGGGACCAGCGCCCGTTTCAGAATGGGATAATAAGGTGGCTTCTACTCACTTCGGTGCCAGAATGGTTTCCCAACGCGAATGGATATTTGTCGATCGAGACAGTAGCAATCTGAACTCCGAGCGGTTAGTCGGTCGGGCAAACATTCATTTAGGCGCTATCCGAGAGTTGGCTCACAAGCCCATACAATCTTCCCTCTACCGCGATCGTCGACAAATTTCTCCTCGATATCGTCTGGCTGCATGACCAGCTGCTCGAGACCCAGGAGGTAACCTAGCCTGACGGCCTCGAGGGAAGGGTCAGCATCGACAGATATTCTAGCCAGGGGTGGTGTGTCTGGCTCACGGTGCCGACCGTCATCCAGCACATTCGATCTTCAAATCCCAGCCCTGTACTGTGGCCCATATTTGGTGGGTATTCTACAAAATAGGTCAGCATGTGCTTATCTACAAGAAGTTTTCGCTTCGGATTTATTGTACCTGAAAGGAGCAACAATCCTTCAATCATCTCCAGAGATTCATTCGTTCCCTTAATCGCGACCTGGGCGAAAAGCCGCTCCACTCTCTGCCATAAATGACGATGCAGGGTATACTCCCCCAATAGACCGGTTGTCACCACAAGGATCGCGGCCACGAAATGCGGCTCTCGCCCGGCCATGGTGAGGATGTGCTCCGATGTTGTCGGTCTCCTTTCAAACGGGATTAGCGGCATGATGGGGTGTAAGGAGCCAAGGTAGAAGTGAAACAGTCTGAAGAGGGTCGCCTCATCTATGAGGCCTTCTCGAAGGAGGAAGAACTGCGGCCTGGAAGAGCCAGCGCCTAGCACATCCGCTCCATCGGACTGCTCTGAGCTTAATGATGTTCGATCGTGGTCCAAAAGTCGTATAGCATCTGATGTGTTTCTGAGTGGAAAGGTCGCCAGAGTTTGACTGGCCATTTGTTGATCGTAGCTCGGTAACTGTCGGTGACTATGATTCTCTCTGGAACTAGGCGCCCTCGTTGCAACACCTTCATTATTTCCCACGACGGGCTTAAAAGACCCCATAAACGTCTGCCAGGCGGACTGGCCTTCTCTGCTCGCGGGATAGGGTAAATTAAAGTCGTAATCCCTCGTGGTAGTCGTTCCCGAATATAGTTCGCCGTTCCCAAAATTGTGCCCGGATTTCTTTGGAGGCCGACCTCTTCGCTTTTTCTCTGGGAGGACTGAGGAGTAGTGAGCGCGAGCATTCGAATAGCACGTCACGAACCTACCACACAATAAGTTGGCTCTACGACAGGCTTTACAAGGCCGTTTGGGATTTGCTGGATCTCCCAAACTGCACTTGTGTTTCTTTTGTCGACAGCTCTCGCATGCCTGATAGACCCGTTTGAAAGTCGGGCCTCTGCCCGACACAACTTGGGCGGGATCCGTCCCAGGCTCCAGAGACACCGGGTCAGCGGTGCTGGACATTCTCATCCATGGTAATCTTCCGAGCCAATAAGTTGAGACAATCTAGATATGGATGGCGCGCACACAGAGATGACAACAAAAAGCTAACAGGCGAGCAGAGGTGAAAGGCCTCCTCGGTCAAATGACGAAATGAGAATATCAATGCTCGGTGAAGCTCGGTGCAAGATTGTCCGTCGTAGTGCGACATTTGGCGGCAAAACCAAGAAATGGCCGTAAATACCCGAGCCGTGTTGCGTTAGCCCAAAGATCAGTACATCTCATTGAACCATGTTGTATGAAGTGCCGCGGGAGTTAAGCTGCCATACCATGAGAACCAAGTGTCGCGAGAACCAAAGATTGACATGCGGACAGTTTGCAATGGGAATAATTTCGTCTATACGTGCAATGTGCTTCATAGAGAATGCAACACTTCTACTTCCCCATCCCACAAAATCTTGCTAAGACAAAGACTATTGCGCTTCGTACCTAGTTCTTGCAGTACATTATATTTTGTCTAGGATTGTATCAGTCCGTTGTCTCTTATCGAGGCTCTTGTGGTTCATATACACAATTGCCAGTGGAGAGGAGTAATCTCTCAGTCCTCCTGAAGTCCTTGAAACTGAACAGGAAACTCTCCCTGAAGCCCCCCAACGTTGCGAAACCCTCTCAGCCGCCTACAGTGGTTACCTCAACAAATACATACATCGCTCTCCACGATTAGCGGGTTACACTGGCCTCATGGTTGGGAAAATTTCGCCAACGCTGGGCCTCCAAGAATCGGGTATAGGCTTTCAAGTTTCAAGAGTTCTTTCTTTCTCTCACTCGCATGGGAAGACCGCCTTGAATACCCTGCCGAGACGTCGACGTCAGCATTTATTCATGGTTCCACCAGCGCAGGGAAAGAATAATCATACCATGTTCAAGGCAGCAAGTGGCTTATATATCCTGCTATCGTCTGATAGAATGATATCGAAGCGCTGGAGGATCGCAACTGTAATGGTGATGCCCTCGTACGTGGCGAGTGGACGTCCGAGACAGCTGCGCGGCCCGGCATTCCAAGCGTGATATTCTATAGATGGCGACGTCAGCAATAGCAGTAACATTTTTCGTTCTCGAACGCGGGCTCCTGGGCTTACTAAATGGACTGTAGGAGATGCTTTCCCCATTCTCCTTGAGCCATCGGTGTGGGTTGAAGACCGCGGCGTCCTCTCCCCAGATTTCCGGCATGCGAGCCATAACATAGTTCTGATAGCTAACAACATCGCCTCTGTGGAAGATCAAACAATGTTAACTCGTCAATGCGTACGGAAGGAGGATAAGCCCTACTTCTTGATCCGACGAGGAGGCATATTTAGCTCTGGCACCGCAGGGAGAATATCGTCCTCAGCCGCCTCCAACTGACCGGCCGGAGACACCGTGTTAAGTCGAGTGCACTCGTCCCACATGGCATTCGTAAATCGTAACCTCTACAAGGTATAAAGTTAGCTCAACAATCCCCATGGTTAAGTCTAGCTCTGGGTTCTTGACTCACCGGCGCATCTGTGTAGTTAAGGTAACCACTTGTGAAGCCAAGGTCCTCGACCTCAGCCCGAATCTTGTTCAAAGCATTTAGATGTTGGTTTTGTTTATGGTGAATCTCCTTGACAAACCATGATGTATTGTATGTCGTTGTGTCACCTATATTCACATAAGATCATTAAGAGGTCAAAGTCTGTAAGATTACGACTTACGGCCAGCTGAGAGAAAAGAGAACACCATTCCACCGAGAGTGTATTTGTCAGTTGTCGACTGCAAAAATAGGTCAAGAAGGTCAACGCCAGCGTCTGGATTAGGTTTATAACCATTCTTCATCGCATCGAGACGCTTCTCGATAAGATAATCAATCTGTCTATAAAAGAGATCCACGGCTCTCTTCGAGATAGTATCTTCGCCAGAGAGCTTCTCGGTTATCCTCCATAGAGGATCGCGTCTCCTTCGGTCAAATACTATAACAAAGTATATTAGCCACTCTGGAGAGAGCGTCAGGCGAGATAAAAGAGGATAACTTACAATGAGTAGCTTGATCGAAGGCCTCGACGTAATCCGGTTTTGATTCCAGGCACTTAGGATCATCAGACATAATATCTAAAGCGAGCCTATCCTCATGGAAGGCAATTCGAAGGAAGAGGCAGAACATAAGACGGCCCATCACTTCCTGGAAGTTAAACTCTTTCTGCTCCTTAGCCAAGTTGGAGAGAAGCCGCAGGAGAATATCCAGCCAATAATGAACGGATTGCGTAATATGAGTCTCGAAGTTGCGCTTGCTGAATGCACGGGAAGCTGCTTTACGTTGCGTTTGCCATTCCACGCCGTCTGCGACGAAAATGCCGCCTCTATGAAGCGGTCCAAACATATTACGAGCGAACCTGCCACGTATGTAGTTCTTGCTGTTATGCTTCTGGATGTGCTCGAGATAGGTTGGGTGATTGATAATATGCATGCGAAAGAATGGAATCGTCATCTCGTATGCAGGTCCGTACTGCTTGTACAGGGAGTACCATGCCTCGCAGCTGGCGGCGCCATTTGTTCTGAGCTCCTGAAGATTTCCTGTGAAAGGCTTCCCCGTTGGACCACCAATCCATTTCGCGTTGGCGGAGGTTGATGTCCAGAAACCCTTGTTGCGGTAAGTCCAACAGATCCCTGCCATGTCATTTAGCACTCGGGGCTGATTGATGTTGAGTTCTGCAGGATGGTAACTTACCAGCGACTGTGAGGAGAAGCAGGGCACAACCATATCCGAGTCCCGCGATGACCGAGTTTACTGGAGGCACTCGGGGGCGCTCGAGCGTGGTGGACATGTTGTCTCGGACAAAAAGTTGGTTGCTGGTGCACGTTCAGACGCTATTCGCATCGACCAATTGCAAAAGATGGGCTATCCCAGGGCATTCGAGCAAACCTAGGTCCATACAGGTTGGTTACTCTCCGGAACGTAATGCCTTTATGTGCTTACCAGCCAGGTTCCGGGAAGCAAGGAGTCCACGTCCCAGTCATTAATGGCCGCAAATACCCAGCACCCCACGACCTTTCCCCTCTCGCCAAAATCCCCGCCACCTCCACTCTTCCCCACTCTTGGAGTTGCAGCCCTCGTGGTGCAGCTACTTCCGATATCATAACAACCCACCAACCAGTTCTTCCCTCTGGACTTAGTTAGCTGATCAAAATCTCTCGCCGATATAACTATAATATTTTATACGAGCAACTGGACCAGAGGCTAAAGACCGGCCACAGGTCAATATGGCTTGGTCATCGCTCAGGTCAAAGGGCGGAATATTGAGGTGCAGAAACGGAAATGGACTTTGGGGACGTGAAGATTCGGCGCTGAGTATCTTGGTATTTATTCACTGAGACCCTCCTGCTGAAAGGCGACAAGAGCCCGGAGTCTCTTCCATTATAAGCCATGCGAATTGCTGAACAGACCCGCCCAACCATAACTCCGTCGCTGTCATCAATGCCCTTTACAATAGCTCAATAGTCGGTTCCTCCGGAAGTCCGACGAAGTCGCAGCCTAGAGCCCCCTCTGCAAGTCGGGGAAGAACGGCTCCTGTAGCAATGGTGTGAAGCGGCCGCAATCCATGATAGGAGACAGCAGACGTGATATGGTTGATTGCAGCACCTTGTGTATATATGAGAAGCTGTGGCTTAGCGGTCTGACCTCTGCCTGCTCTTGTCTCCGCGCTTAGAATTTCTTGGCAGATCGGGCAAATTGTGCTACCCGATCGAGGTGCTTGCGGCTCTTGAGCTCGGCTGTATGTATAACAGCGCACTGCGCATTTGCTGAAATACTAGGTGTTGACGAAAGGAAGAAGAAACGGAAAGGACCTATGGATATCTTCGAGCAGGGAGAGGTGAAGGTCTTTTTCGTAGTCGACAATCCACATCCTCGGGGTCAACAACCTGCTGATTGATGTCAAACTGTCCCTTTCCCTTGTACGCATCCATAACGAGCAACAGCGCAGCAACGAAAAGTTGGAGTACTCTCCGCGTTCTCCCCCTCGACGGTGAATGTCCTCGCCCATCCCGCACTTCTTGATTCAGGCCGCCCTTGTGGCTCTACTCTCACATTTTACCAGTCCCCATAGACTCGGCTCTGCTCGCCGTCGAGCTTCATCTTTGGTGTGTCTTCGGTGATCGCCGCGATCTCTGAATTTGGCGTTGATGATGATGAGCGCGGAAAGACAATGGGAAGAGCGCGCATGGTGACCCCTCTCGGGGGAGGGGATGAAGATGAGGCCAGGCGGGTGGCCGTTTCTGTAGGCTTACCTGTTTTGCACGGTTTCAAGGTCAGTATGGTCCCAGATCAAGTTTATAGACTCGAAGAAGTTGTACTCACCCTGCAAGTGGATGTCCTCCCCAGTCGAGTCTGTGGAAGCAGGACCCCAGGTATTGGCCACTTTGTCGAGCTGGTTTTCGACATCTAGCGCGTTGGGAGTGATACCAACGGGTCGAGCGAGTACAGGGGGTCTTTATATATAGCCTGGGCTATGAATCGCTGGCGAGAATTCAAGTAGTCGCAGTGCTTGTCCGAGGAGAGATTTGAGATAACGGTCTAAGTTGCTTCAAGCAGTATGTTTACCTGTTCCACAGGAGTAGTTTTTATTGTGCTTTCGAGTGCTCTATACATACTAGTATATTGAACCTCCAGAAGAAGTAGGATTTCCCACACACTGACGTGGCGGCTGATTTATTTGAGCTGCACAGCCAATCTCTCACTGCTTGATGTCAGTCAGGGGTCCTGCCCACACAAAAATGCCTGAGTTCCGTGCTGCGATGGATGTCTTTCCAGATCAGGACCTATGTGTCCATGTGTCTTCTAATAAAATATATCTCTGGCATAGCTGCAACATAAACGTTGGATGAACCCATGCCAGCTTCTTTCCCCTCCTCCCAACCTCAAGGTTTTGAAGCTTGGTCTTAACAAGAGCCCCATGGCCAAGAAATGGTTGATGTCGTCTTTCTCACAAAGCGTCCGACTAGTACATCCCAAACCTCGGAAAGGTTGACAATAAAACCTCCCCCAAAGACAATCCTGCACAGAGACTGTCTCTTCGTGCAGTGAGTATCTTGTGCCCCTCCAGGGCGGCATTCTACACAGGTTGGAGTGATGGCATGATTATGATGTACGGCCTCGGAGTGGAGAGTTTCGCGAGGCTACGGCTACAGGGGCCCCAAGTGTCCGCCTCCCTGATCCCTGGGGTCGGAGAAGCGACAGTCCGTCCGACAGTGATCTTGGGCGGTTGTGGGGTCGCGGGTGGGTTTCGTCTCGCAGGCTGCTTACTCTAATGCCCTGCAAACAGGATTGCCGAAGCTACCGACAGCATCTCGATCGATATCCCAGTAGAACAGTGTCGGTAGCTGTTGACAGGGTCTGGAGATAGCCACTGTGTGGCAAACCACCTGAGACGCTAGGCGTTTCACCAACTGTGCCACCTATCTCAACACCGTTGTTCTCGCCGATCTGTGATAGGATGGCAACGGAATAGGAGGTTTCAGGGATGGCCTTCAGGTTGCAGGTCAAAGTGTATATAAACAGGCAGAGTCTCTCTGAACATGCAGAGGGGCAAGAACATAATCAAGCAGGTAGATCCACTCTCACTCTCTGTACAACAGTAGCCTCGACGGTCTAGTGGCTGAGAACAGGTGTAGTGCAGAGCAACTTAACTACGGCGAAAACTATCCTACACCTATGGCCACTTCGAGCAACTATAAAACTCTTTCGCAGGTAGTCTTCTACTTGAGAGCAAGGGGTTTCAAGATCAAAATATGCTGATTAAGGTGGAAACAACCTCTTTTGAAGCGGGCAAGGCTGGGCGGAAAAGGGGTATCGGAGTTCATAAATCTTCGCTTCTGATTGGCGGAAGCACTTGGACGCGTTCAGGTCATTGAGATCGCATTCCCCGCGTCATACCCAGATTATTCGAGAACGAAAAGCCTAATTGGCATATACGGTTTGATCCTAGTGGCTGAGCGAAGGCCGCTTTAACCTGAGCATTAACTGAGCCTTTAGCTGAACATCACTGAGCAACACACTGTGAGCCCAATCTGGCAACCCGGAAATCGGCTATCAGTTGCCCCTCAGCTAGGCGGCTATTTCAGACAGAAGTCAGGGAACCTGGCAGATTCTCTATCTCATCCGCAACATCATCCCCCCCGCGAACATGTGCCTATCTCGTCTGATGCTTCTCAAGCGAGCTTACAGGCCCGCATAAAGTTATTTTCGTGTAGCCAGATCCTGACGGCTTTTCCCTTGGCGTATAGGACCATTGCAGATGCATACACCACTAGGTTGACGGCCGTCACCACCATCAGGACTACCAGAGGGCCGTCTCGGATCAACCAGTCATTGATCACCCATGTCCAGATCCAGGCTATCGTGCTCTTCATGGAAGCCACCGTTACCATGAGCTCGACACTCAACTCTTGATGGCAATCTAGTGCGTAGCTCATAGAAATTGTGGCGCCCATTTGACCACCAGCGCTTAGGATACCGTAGCCAACAATAGGTCCAGCCCAGTGTGTCTGATAGTGAAGACATAAAGCAGCAATTAGACTGCCGATGAATGTCAAAGCAGCGGCGATAACGCAGGTTGGAAGACGCATTTCCGGCTCTCTGATACCATTATTGCGGCGCGTAAAGAAATTGGCAACGTTATCGGCCGCGGGACCGCACATGTAAGTACCGACAAGAGACCCAATCAAGGGAGAACCAAAGATGAGACCCTGAGCAGCGGTGCTGAATGAATACGGCCTGTTGATTTTAGCAATTTATGACACCTAAGGAGAAGATATCCTGCACTCACGGTGGCGCGAACAGTTGTCCATTTGTGGTGGCCATGATAACATTCCAGCTTATCGCCAATCCATAACAACAACATGACCAGATTACGGTGGGATAAGCAAGCAGTACGAATGGTCGTGCGAAAGCCTGCCACAAGGAGACACTCTTGTCATTTAGACCCCAGAAAGATAGCTCCTTCACGAAAGTCTTTTTCGAGACGGTGAAAGTATTCAGTTCGACGACCTCAATCTGAGACACTCCTTCAGAGTCCTTGCCAGTGTCGGCCACAATCTGCTGGAAATCTAACGTAGGTCGAACCCCGAGATACATTGTTTCCGGCATGTTAAGGAACTGACCGATCGAGAGGGCGAAAATAAAGGCCGCCACAATATAAAATGTCCAGGCCATCCCGAGGCTTTGAATGATGAGTGCCGACAACATCGGTCCAAGCTCGTTTCCTCCTAGGACGCCTGTAAATGTGCATTAGAAGATATAAAGCTCTATTCAAGATACATTGCCGAGGACTGGAAGTATGCTCAAACTCTTATCGAAGTGAGTACTCACTTAGTCCATAGTACGAGACTTTAGCACCTCGGTCGTGTAAGAAGAAAATATCCGTGATTGTGCTCGGCACGATGGATTCGATAGGAGCTTCGAAGACACCAAGAAAGGCTCGACCGACGAGGAAAGAGGTATACGAAGTTTTGCTGGCAATCGCAAGCCAGATGCAGCCGACACCCATCAGCGTGTTTGAGAAGAGGTAGACTGGTCGCCGACCATATTTTACAGCGAATGGCCTGTCACGTACATGAGTACTCGGAAATAAGTAAAATAGCGCGAAGAGCTGTCGAACATCCATAGGGTAGTCGCAACGCCCTGGCATACGAGTGTCGCGCCAACAGTGTAGGTCATCCGTTGAATGGATGTCTTGTAGAAAGTCGCGCCTTCTACCATCCCTGGCAGAACTGATTAATTCGATAAACACCTCAATGGCCTAGTAGAGCTTACAAGCAGTCATGATAGGACCAGTGACAGCACCCATGAAGGAATAGCCTAAAGCATAGAAGAAAGTGACCCATTTCTTGAGGGCGGGCCAGCGCAAAGGATCGTTGGGATCAGTCAAGGATGGCTGAGGAACGAGCAGCAGATGACCATCTCCTGATTCGACATGCTGAAGATCGCGTAGCCTGCGAAATCCTAGGCCGTCTTCAGCCATGTCGTACAAAATCTCAGTGCCTGGAGCATCCCGGTAGACAGACTGATTACTATCAACAGACGTGATTTCCTGAGGCATGGTATCGATCGAGTAGTGTGTTTGGTAAGAAGATATTGGACGGCTAGGAGTTCGCTGTAGCTGAAAACCGCGTTAAGTCGTGGAAAGATATGTCCTTATACTCCGGAGAATGGAGCGGTTACAATGCCGCCCAAAGAGATCCGGAGTAAGTGCAGCCAATGTGATTCAAGAATCTCTGCAGACAACAAACAGAATTTCAGGGCTCTAGGCATAGGAGGGGTGCCGCAGAAGCGCCTCGACCAGGAGAAGCTCGATTGGCAGGGAGTCAGGGTGGCAGTGGCTTTGTTGTATAAGTTAGCTTGAAGATATTCTTCCCAGGGACTATTTGGGGGATGTATGTCCACCACTCGGACTGACATGGGACGGAAGGATTGAGCCCAAGAGCCAAATTACGCACAAAGCAGTGCTGATTGGACGCTTTGTTCCGAAAATTAGGGACAGGGTTGGAGCCCTTATTCCGTCAGCTGGCCATACCTCAACGTGATTGGTTCAACTAATCCCGCTCTCCGCAATGCCTACTCGTGAGGTACAAGAGAGGCCCCAAATTATGGAAGGGCACGCTTTCTCATTGCAGGCTCAAGACTTATTCAAACCTCCCAAACCTCACCGGTCCACGATGGTGGAGTAACCTCCGAATGCTAGATTACTTATCACATCCATCCCCACAGCTTGTTTTAAGATTCTGAAACCAGCAGCAATGACATTCCATCCATTGAGTAAAACTGTTCAAGCTCTCGAATGTCTGGACTGCTCAGCACATTGCTTCTTTCTTATTTCGTGAATTTTCCGTTTTGCCAAAAACTCATCCCACAACCTGTGAGTGACAAACCTTTCCGTCGTTTTACACGAGACAACAAACTACGGAAAGAGTCGCTGAACCTATCAAAAGCCGCTGTAAAGTGTCATACATGGAGTCCTCTATAACAAAGCTGAAGGCATCAGAAAAATATTTCGAGTGCGTCCTTGACCTGGGCGGGATACGGGGCTGCGTCATCCCGCTGGACGAAGCACCTGTGTTCCCGGAACAGCGAAGCCCGGATGATCTGCAAAGGAACGCGCTGGTTTCGCCCGTGGTCAATGGGGTCCGGTGCAATATTGCTTCCCTAAGCGTTAACGATGTCCGGCTGTCGTCAGGGATTGTCTACTTTTTTGAATACTCTCACTGGCTATAACCATTGATTCTTTACTTCCGCTGATTCGAATTTCCCCGCCCCGGCAAACCTCTCAGTCCCTTGAGAGACGCCAGAGGAGGTTAGGTGATGATACTCTGGGGATGTTTTATGCTCAAGCACAGCACTCGCAAGAGCAATAGCTACAGAGCAATTCATTTTTATACCGGCACTTGAAGAGCTTTTGCATCATTCGGAGCCGTCAGATCTCCCACGAATTTTAAGAGTCACACCTTTCTTCGCTGCTCGAGCATATAGTATTGAAGCAAATCCTTGGTCTTGAGATGAGGAGAAATCGTGCGCACCCGATTTGAAAATTTCTTTATGCCAGGGCACATTTTCGACGGAGGGACCGAGTTGCGCAATATAATCTCGTCTGATGGTAGTAATACCAGTGATGACGGGATTATCGAGAACGTTTGTAGCATCATTGCTCCGCCATGATGCGTCTCAATGATTGCGGCCTCAATCTCTTCCCAAATGAAGGTGTGGAATGCCACTAGCGCTGAATGCGGGAGAAAGCCAGGCCATTTCTCCTTGCCCTCTGCCAACTGCAAATCCTGAGATGGCAGTTGATCCCACACCTTAAAGAAGTATTTCGTGAAGAGCTCCCTACTATTGGTTGGTCACTGACTTGAATCCTTTCTCGAATGGTATAGTCTATCACTCAAAGACGATATGGCGGACTCTAGAAGGGATCTAAAGGATCGTTAAACTATTATGGTAGCTATGTATGGGTTCAGACACGGAAGCATTTCTGGGTTCCTTAGACTTCTGCTACGGATGGGAGTGGTAAGTTCATCTCAAACACAAAATCACGCAGCATTCGTGGCAGGGACCTTTTCTGGAGGTTATCCCGCCGGATGCGGAATGTGGCTGGCTCACCGTAGCATGACCAGGGATCAACGGTGGCGAATCGGCCGGACAGACATTGGACTATCGCGCAACTCATGCTGCGCTCTAAGGAGACTTCCGAAGGGGAGACTCAAAAGGTGAGTGAGCCTCGAGTTATGCAGACAATGTCCATGATCCGGTCGCCCATCCCATTTTTGATGCTTCCTGCGGACATGCGGAATAACATCCTAGAGGCCATGCCGCATAACATGCTAGAAACCAGACAAATACTAATGGCTAGAGCTTTACAAGGAATCTAAGGAGAATCGACTTAGTACTCTCCGTGCTAAAACTGTGTCCTCAGCGTCGAATTTGTCCGAGCGCGTTAACTGGCTTGCCGGTGTGTTCCACGCGTGAAAACAATTCGTCCACGAGAGCGAGTATGACTTAGTCACGCAGCTTCAGATATAAGGATGAAATCAAACTCTAACAACCACAATACGTCTCTTTCCGACCCGTCAACCGTCCTCTTGAAGGTCTTCAGGCCGTTGTCACGGCACAATCCTGAGAGACACATGTAGGCTAAGTGCGCCTGCCTCGTAGGCAATTTCGGTGGGAGATTCTGTTGTAGTCTTTGTAAAACGAACATAAGCAGAATATGTGGCTGCCCCGGCCGGCTCAGCGATGGAATTGCCCTCCTCGGTCTCAATGAGGCTGGGCGCCGCGGTAATGATGGCGGGCCTCACAGCATGGACAATTGTTAAGGATGCCTATCAAGTCGAGAAAGGATAATATATATTGATATAAGCAGCGGCAGGAGAAACTGGCGGTCTTATGGTGCAGATGTGTAGGCACCTTAGGGGCTGCCGTTATAGGCACATTATCAACGGAACAGAAAACCGAGATTGCAAAGGAGCATGGGTGCGATCATGTGATCAACAGGAATAAAGCGTGCTGTCTGAGGTCCTGAAGTTGACCGGTGGGAAAGGTTGCCATGATGTGTTAAGTGGTATTAGAAAGTCCACATTTACCGATGACCTAGCAGCTACGCAGATAAATGGCACCCTGGTGTCATATGGCAACCGCAGCAGACCAGTAACTGACTTTAACCTTCTGAACCTGAGCAAGAAGAATGCGAAACTGGTCCGTCCAACTCTGGCAAACTATATCGCTAAAAGAGAGGAATTTATGGAAAGGATTTATGGAAAGAACTTCGCAACTGCTTGAGCTGTTAGACAAGAACAATATCTCTGTAACGATAGGAGGAGAAAGTCTTAACCGGCTGGCGAAGCGTACGATGATTTGACTAGCCAAAGGACGATCGGGAAGTTGATTGTGAAGGTAGATAGTTGAATATCTACAAAGACCTTTCGACAAAAGATCTTTTGAAGACAGCGAGAGCCGGAACCCAATTCGAGATTTGACATGTGCATTGCCTCTTTAAGGAACACTGTGTTCTCACGGCTCGCCAGGCCAGACTCTATCAGCCACATCCCGGACAAGTTTCAGCTTGGCCAGCATGTCGTCCCAGGTAATGGCATTACCACTGCTGTGGCTAGCGAAGCCACACTGAGGGCTTACGCCGAGCTGATTCAAAGCCTCCTTCTCGCTGCATCCCCGCCCCTTTGAGACCCACTTCGCAGCCTCATGAACTCTCGCAACAGTTTTGTCCAAGTCCTCTAGCTCCGGATACTTACTGCTCACAACACCAAGTATGACGTTTTTATTCGGGGGCAAGTATTGTAGGGGTGCAAATCCTCCAGCTCTCTCGGTGTCGAACTCCAAATAGAAAGTGTGTACTTGAAGGTTCTGCAAGAGCCGAATGGCTATACGGTCATAAGCTCCCTCGGTGAAATGTCGTGACTTGACAAAATTACCACGGCACAGGTGGACTCCAACGTGAAGATTCTCCGGACATTTGCTCATGATCCTGTTGTAAACATCAATGTACTTTTCGAATAGCTCATCTGCAGTGCACGTGTTGGCTTCATCATTGTCAAAGTTTTCAACCATCTTTGAATTGCAGAAGTCTGCCTCTGAAATTAGCGAATGAGCTGACAGCAGCTAGAGCGAAACTCACAGCAGATGTTGGGGTCGTCGATCTGCACATTGCGCAGACCCTGGTCATAAAGGACTTTAAGTTCCGTCTGAAAGGCCTGGATGACATCGACAAAATATTCGTCGTCGGACTTGTAAACGTCCTTGGGATAGGCCGAGCCCTCCTTGTAGCGAAGATGGTACCAGTTTGGAGCAGGAATGGTCAATTTGATATTTCCATGTTCCTCCTTAGGTAGAATATTTTGGAGATAATGGAGCTGCTCGATATGTGCCTTTGATGCCGCTGGGCCGTGCATGATCTTACCAACGCAGATGACAGTCTCACCTGGTTTGTGGTTTTTCTGGCAGTGCCCTCTGTTATCATCTATCCCGAGTCAAGAAAAGGATCAGCTATACCTCAAGAAATGCCGCCACATCGGGGATGTAGGGACGAAAAATATCTGGATCAGGTCCAACAACTTCTTTCATGCCCCCGAGATTGGGCCAGAAAGTACCCCAGAACATATGGCGACGATATTCGCCATCGTTGATTGCATGATACCCATAATCCTGCTGCAATTTGACGACCTCTATAATTGCCTTGTCTTCAACCTTGCGAAGCTCCTCATCCGACGCTTCTTTTTCGTTCCATGCGTGACGCGCTTGTAGTAGATATCGAGGTCGCAGAAAAGAGCCGACCTGCTCGACACGAAATGGTGGATTACGATGCGAGTGGGATACCATATTGAAGAGACTTTACGCGAACAGGCACCGGGCGAGGGAACGGACAGAGAGGTTGGAATCAAGATGTACACTTCTAGTAAGACAAGCTCATGATGGGGCTTTCCAACTTTGGGATCGAGGTTTTGTATATAGAGTCGCGGAAGCCACGTCATTCCCATTTTTCACCCACGAATCCAGATGCCCGACACAATCCGGAACTCTGCTCTATACTATCGGACATCGCGCGCCAGTACGTGTGGCACATGATACAGGCTAGGCTACCGCATCCAAGGTTCAAGGAGCTCAGTCTTCGCATCTAAATCGCACGTTCAGACTTGACTGGCACTTGCTGCGGATCCGGCAACCCCATTTATCCATTCCCCCCCGCCTCGTCTCCAGCCTACATCTATTCACCCTCCAGACTACTCCGTGCAGTGTTCTTTGGTTCAGGGGATAGCGGCAATCAACCCGCATCCGTTAAAAGGGCATCCGACGGATATAGGGTAGACCAGTAAAAGACAGGCGCAAAACAATTCGTCTAACCAACTGTCGAGAATGCTGTCGGGAGCCCGGCAAGCAATATCCAACTCTGTCCTGAACACGGGTCTAATTCCGTTACCAGACCTTTTTCGACCACCAGCAATACCCGCGTCTTGGGGCATTCTTTCGAAGGCCTCCGCAACCAGTATCCTGCGCCTCTTCATTCCACCGGCATGTTCGTGGAGCCTCTATCACCATGCCAGCGATCCCGTGACAAGTTTGGGCTATATAGAGGCGACAGAATAGGAACGCAGCTCTCGAAGGAATAACAAACAGTAAAGCAGGTTCCACATTAACTGCTAGATCTGTGTCGGTCCTCTGTGCTGCGGATACAACATGTCTACTTCATTCACCTCAATTCCCCTGGTAAACTTCGGGCATCTCAGAGACCCTGCGACCAAAAAAGCGGAGCTCGCAATTCTCCAAGACGCTGTATTCAATGTTGGATTCCTGTATTTGGTGAATACTGGCTTGGAGGTAAGTGGACAGTGTGGCTTTCGTACGAAGACCCATCTAAGACTTGAGAACAGTCTTTGATCGAGGAGGCACACGCGAGCCTACCAGAAGTGTTCTCGCTCTCCCCTGAACAGAAACGATCAGTTGAGATGCTGCAGTCTCCCCATTTCCTAGGCTATACTGGTCTGGGGACTGAGACAACGGCAAATCAGCGAGATATACGAGAGGTTCATTGCGCGCTTGCTCATACACAATTTAAACTGATTATTCTACAGCAGTTTGACTTCGGGACTCAATGCGAAGAATGGAACGAGGGGGATCCTTTCTGGCAGAGACTGGAAGGGCCTTCGCGATTTCCGAACGACCGCATTAGAGACCTTGTAGAGCGATATACCTCCGCTATGTCGGCCTTGGGCAGAGAATTTGTCCACTTTGTCGCAGAATGTCTCTCTCTGCCCGCTGATTCTTTCGATCAATTTCTCGGTAAGATGTCGAGGCTAAAGTTTGTGAAATATCCGTCCGCAACTCCAGGCTCACAAGGCGTCGGTCCCCACAAGGACTCCATTGGTTTCTTTACATTCCTTGCTCAAGACAGCGTCGGAGGGCTTCAAGTGTTAAACAAATCTGGTGTGTGGATTGATGCGACACCCATTCCTGGCAGTCTAGTAGTGAATGTGGCGCAAGGATTTGAAGCAATCACTGGCGGCGTCTGCAGCGGAACGACCCATCGCGTAGTGGTAAGACTACCCAGAATGCATTGAAGACCCCGCTGACCTATTCAGGCACCAACAGCGACAACCCGATACAGTATTCCCTTTTTCCAGGCTGTCAACTTAAATCTTCGGCTCGAAGAACTCAAGAAGTCAACCCAGGAGATTGTTGCAAAGATACCAGTTTCAGATGACAAGAAGAAGAGGGCAGTGGACGTACCCAGCGAGCTGATCTCGCCATTGTATGAATGTGTAAGATACAGCCTCTCGACCAATGGCCTGTTTGGGCAAGCAACTGATCGCATGGTAGTTTGGAGAAGCGCAACTGAGAAATCGGATACTTAGCCACCCTGATGTTGGCCAGAAGTGGTATCCGGACTTGTACCAAAAGTACTCGAAACAAGTGCTCGTGTGAGGTGTATGAGGAAAGAAGCTATCAAGATTGGCTCATTTTTTTGTTTTTGAAGGATTTATGACAGTATGCCAACTTGTGTTCTCCTTAAATTAGGGACCATTCATAGTGTAAAGCCCAACAGGATCAATCTGCGGCTGTGAAGTTTGGCAGACACTAAAAAAGGAAAGCAGAGCGTCCCAAATTGTAAACCGTTGTTCCCATGTCGAAAAATGAGACGCTAGATTCTCAGCTCGATTCTACCCACCACTGTGGGTTATTACAATTAAAGAGAGTGCATCAATTGGAATGCAATTGCAACTAGCTAGGACAGCACCATCCGGTCCCGTGTATCGATTACAGTTTGCAGCCGTTGCGGCATCCCTTCTATCCATTGGTTGGTAGTGAACTGGGCGCTATTGGTTTGGCATACTGTGCCATGACCACCAGCGTAATGTCCAGCAGGACGGCATCGCCAGGGATGGCATCTCCAGGAAAGCTTTAGGAATGGCTCCCCTGACACAGGCCGATTGTCTATATAAACAGAAGAGAACTCGCTGAAAGGCCAGATAGATGGACGCATCAGAGAACAGACCAATGCCCTCTATTTACGCCATCGACATGACACTTCTCAGTCTCACAGCTGTCCTCCTCTAGTACTGTATTTTTAAGCTATTGAGAATCTCTTGACTCAGCAACTGGATATATATATATCATCTGAGTCATCTTACTGTTTGTATTCGGTTTATAGTATCGACATAGCGGGCTTTTGTAGTTATTATCGGACTGCTGCCCACCGGTGAACTCTCCTCTCATCCTCCTTCCCTGGTTGTTTCTATACTGTACAGCGAAAGAGCAATAAGTTTCGTCTGGGCGGCGAGTAACGCATACACGTCCTTGCGATCCGTAGTCTAGATAAACCTCGTTGGAAAACCTAACGTTGTGCCAATCGCAAGGCTGTGGACGTAAAGCCAGCATTTGGACTACAAAGTGAACTCTTCGCTCTGCGATAGACGACTGAAGTGCAATGCGCTGACAGACTAGAGAGCGCTGATAGCCTTTCTCTTGTAGAGCATTTTGAAGAGTCCTCCCACAGACGTCTAGTCCTGCCTCAAGCGCTAGATTCTGCCACGACAAGGTGCGACTATCGTAGCCTCTTCGCCGGAGTATATGTTCCACAGCGCTAATATCTCTTTTAGTTAATATTTTCTTTCCACTACGAATTTTAACTCGAGTTGGACTATGACAAAGGCGCCGAGGGTCCGTTGATATGCAATTCGAAAACTGGTCGCTTACTGCAGGTTCTCGAGACAGAATAGGGCTCTCATCGACAGATGGTGGCCCCCAGGACTGAGATGTCGTCCATTGCGCGCGGCTTACGTGTACGCCCGTATACGCACTCTGTGTGGTGTATGCCAACGTGTCTGTGGGACATGAGCTATGGCAATATCGAAATCAGTGAGATAAATAACTTCCTCTATTAGATTCTTGTTTTACTAGTAAAATAGGATAGGGGGTGAAAATGCGTCGAAGCGCGCCCAGAAAGAATGCCTCAATTTCCCTTTCAGGGGCTTGCCAGGGCTAGGATAGTTATTCCTAAGTTTAACTAGTCTCGGAGTACCGCTTCCACACATCTCTCATGGGTCGAGCTTCCCCAGACATTGCTCAGTTGCAGACCCACGGATTCCAGCAACTCCCTGAAGTGAGACTCACTGCGTTCCATAGCCGAAAACAGTGCCAGCATGTTAATATCCTGTAAGCAGGGATAAAGTGCTGCACCCGTATCTGGTATCACCCAGTCATTGATCAACAACGTCGAATAACCCCTTGTCATGGCTGGAACAATGTTGCGAAGAATTTCCCGGACTCTTTCATCGTCCCAATCATGCAGAATGGACCTCATATAGTATACCCGCGCTCCTGTCCTGTCAGTCCTGTGCGGAGATTGCAAACATGCTGCGCCTCACCTTTGATGGGTTGGCCGGAGAAAAAGTTATGCCCGATTTTGGTAATTCCGTCAGTCTCGCTATAGGGAGATAGATCTACAACTTCAGGTAGATCCTCCAAGACCAACTTCCCCTTGGCGTGCGGGAACCGCTCCTTGAACTTCTTCAACTCGTGTCCTCGGCTACCGCCAATGTCAACGAGCAGCACGTCGCTAACACTTGGGTCGAAGCCCCCGATCACCGCCTCCTCTACTGGGTATATGTCGAACCAATCGGGCCGCCGATACCTCTGCACGGCCATCATATCATGGAACTGCTGCATCAATTTTGACTGCTTTGAGATCAGGGAGAAGAAGTCTGTGTCTTTTCCGTAGGTAAGCTCCCACACTCCAGGCCTTCCTAAGGGTATGTGGTGGTCTGTTTGGACCAGGTATTCTGGCAGATGAAGCACTGCCTTGCCTATCACATCCCACATGAATTTAGTCGCATTGGACATCTGGTTGTCGGCGGCAAGGTACGACGACATCGATGTTGATCGGTATGTTCGCGGTCCAACCTCTTCGAACAGCCTTAAGGCAACACAGGACCGCATGACGCGGACTGTTGAAGGTCAGCAAGGGCACTCGGCACATGTCCCAAGAGTTTCCTTATTACTGATCAGAGATTCCTCTGCACCAGTCTGCTGAGCCAATTCTTTCGCGGTGCGCTCATTACTTCGTGAGAGAATTCCGGGAATGTCGAGCTCCAGGGCAATTCTGACGACAGCGAATTCGTGAGGCTGCTTGCCCGTCAGCAGCGTGGCCATATATCCGGAATCGAACCTGAGACTCACACGAACCATGATCTCCCACACACGCTCTCCGGGCAGCTGAGCGGTGGCTACTGCATTGTTTAGAACGTCAAGCAAGGCAAGCCTCAATGGTTCATCCTCTGCACTTTCTCGAAGTACCTCCTGCAAGTGCTGTTTCAGCCTCTGAAAATTATGCTCCTGATGCGGAAGGCGTCCCATGTTGAACTGATCCGCATTCTGGTGACATGCAGTGTAGACTGATACAATTATGTATCACCTCTCCCTAGCTCACAAGACCACAAGCCTATGCCATGCCTCAAGCTCAAAAGCGAGATACTGCTCGTTTGGTAAAGCACAGATGCCGTACGGAAGGCAAAGAATCTCGGGGATGTCGCAATGGACCCCGAAACACCTGGGAAGAATCTGACATGGTCTGTGGCGCCGGTCGTTGGAAGAACCACAGTGGGCGGCTTCTGAAGAAGTCGGCGCCAATTGGTCCGCAACTTCCGACGGATATCGTTGAGCCAATCGAATAGGCCCAGAACTCACCCTTTCATTGCAGTCGAGACGAAATTGACCCCGTAGGAAGGCACCGTCTATGGGGCAGGGAAGGACGCGTGCCGAAAGAGTGCCTGAACGCGGCTTCTGTTCTCCTCTCCACTCACAGCTCTGCAATCCGGCAGAATGCCAAATGTCAGATGTATGAATTCCGGGCGCATTTTATGAAAGAATAGTACAGGATGGAAGGATGGGATGCAGACCGCTGCTGGCGAGTTCTGAAGATTTCCCCAGACTTGGCCCTGGGGCCCCTCGAGGTGGCGGGGGATATTTCCAGACCAAGCGGGCCCATAGTGCCGCACCGAGTAGCGGGGTTGACTGAGGAAGCTGAATGTCGACCCACTGCTTGCTGGCCTTGCCTTTTCCAACTCCTTCTGTCCTTGTCAACATTCAATGTGCCTTAAGTCTGACTGTCTGAATAGTTCATCCTACCTCGATGAGTCCTTCTCAAAGAGCCGCTGGCGCAAGGTCATCTGCCGCCTCAGGCCAGCACCCTGCACTCGTCCTCCAAGCCGGGGTCCTAGAAGATGCCCAACCTGTCAACTATAAGAAGCGCTCCCGCGCCTTGCGTGCGTGCGAGATGTGTCGTGATCGAAAATCGAAGGTATTTTCTGATGGTCCGCTGGCTTCTCTCGATCCAATTGCACCCATCCATCGGGACGAGAAGAAGTTCTTTGGCAGCCTCGATCTGACAATAGCTGACAATCACTCGCATAGTGTGACCAGCAATGTCCATGCTCTCACTGTGCATGTAAGTGGGTCTACAAGCTCTCGATGGCCACATGTGAACGAAAACTTGCAAATACTTATCACTCAATTGAGCAGACTACTCCCTGAAATGTGTGTATAGGCCCGGTGACGGCGTGCGACGGCGTAAAACACATGATGGAGGAACCGCGTCCAGCTCATCGTCCAAAAGGTCCGCATTCACTGCAACTTGCTGCCATCAGTGGCACTTGGGCCCTCCAATTGAGTCTAAGTCCCATCCGGGCGTTCAGGGTTTGAGTGACTGATTTTAAAAGCCCCGTTGCACGCCCTTCGCCACGGCCAATCCTCCAACGTCCGCCCAGGGTCTGCAACACCGAAAACATGGCGAATGGAGCATGCGCGGGAGGTGGATCTGACTTGCGGACTTTAACCTCAAATGGATTTCAAGAAGCGAATGCATCGTCCAAGGACGCACGGGGGACGCAGTCTGCAGCCGGGGTCGAGGATGAAGAATTCGAGCAATCTCGAATGCAAGAAGGTTCACAGTACCTTTTAATGCTGTCATGTTGAATAGCCGCTAACAGTCGCTCTATGACAGGAGACATCAGGAACGTCGGTACACCCAGCCTTGATGGGACCAACACTTACACGAACGGAACCGAGTTTTATGGCGGCTCGTCAAACTTGGCCTTCCTCGCAAAGCTGTTTTCGAAAGCCCGCAAGCGAGCAACTGCGATGTATCAGGTAGCCTCTCCAGGGGCAGCTACCCCTCTTATACCAGCAGAGGAATCCACTTCTCAGTTAAAACACCTCAATAACAACAGGTCCTCGCTTGTTGACCTCATGTACAGCGTTGACTATCACTCGCCTGCATTGCACGGTTCGACGCCGCCGAACCAAGGGTACATGGAAACGCCGAACGCACGTTTTGTCAGCCCCAGTATCAGAACCGTGAATCAAGCCTCGCCAGACTACAGTGCTAACCCGTTGATCAACGACAGCTTTATGCCGGCGGGCCCACCGAAGCAGACCCCAGTGATTGCGTCTGCGCTAGCGGCGCCCTTCGACACAGAGCTGGGCACAACAGAGGTAGAGAAAATCTTCATCGAAGCTTACTTCAACAATGTCCATTACATTCACCCCATGCTGATAGAAGAATCCTTCGAACAAGAGTGCCAGAGGCAGGTGTGGACCAATCAGCCTACCGCGGGTTGCAAAGGTCGCCGACCACAGTTTATGGCGTTGTACTATGCCGTAGTAGCGTTGGGTGCCATCAACAGCGGCCCTGATCAGGCTGCGTCCCTGGCAAAGCAATATCAAGATGCCGCCTTCTCTCGTGGACGCGGAAGGAACCCGATGCAATCCGCCTTGGGGTGGGCGAGTCATTACTTTGGTCTCGCAAAGCAAGCCTTGGGGGATATCATGGAGATATCCTCGCTTGAAACTTGTCAAACCTTGTTCATGATGGTGTGTCATGAGGCCGGCTATGCGCCTACAAGTGCTAACGGTTGGGTTAGACTGTATTCTGCCAAAACGCGCTCAAGCCACACGCCTGCTACATGTACAGTGGAAACGCTGTACGGACGGCAATAGCAATTGGCCTGGCCAACAATCCACGATATACCCACGCAGAAGAAGTCAAGCGCACGTGGTGGTGAGTCTCGCCTCATAAAATTGTTTATCAAAGGTCTGAATGATTTCATGAGGGCTTGACTGGCTTACCGAGGAAACAGGTGCATCTATTCACATGAAATGTATTGCGTCCCAACAAGATGCGACCACCAAGTTATACACGCTAACTTGCGCCCAGTGAGATGTGTTGCTCGTCTGGGCGGCTTGATTCTCTGATGGCTCCTGAGCATTATTCTCTACAAATACCAGACAACAATGTCAGCTATATCGCACCTACGCCATATCTGCAGGCTAACTTTGACCAGAGAGAGGCTGCAAAGAGCCCCGAAATCGCCATCATCCCTGCGATGGTCGACCTTGCCCGCATACTCAAGAAGGCCTCCACAGACATTTATTCAACATCTGGACGACGCTCGATGAACGAAATGTCGCGGATAGGGCTCGAACTCAACAAAGACATCGATCAGTGGAAGGCCAATTTACCTCCTTTCTTGAACTTCGACTTGGAATCCTTGGACGATCCAGTCTGGGCATACAAGCAGAAAGTGGTGCTGAAGATGCGTTCGTATCTGCACCACCCATCCCGCGTCGCCGACTGACTCCTCAGGTTTCTACAATGCCCGCATCCTTATTAACCGGCCCTTCGTTGTGGCTTCTGCGCCAGCTCGTGGCTTAGCCAGCTTCTCCTGTCACGTCGACATATGCCTTGACGCGGCCCGAAAAACTATATTGCTAATCCACAGTGCATTTGTCAACAGGATATATCTTCGAACGTGGTAGGCGTCTAGTATTTCCCTCCGGCATATTCTCGCACCATTGACGATATATCTAGGTGGTATTGCGCAACCTACACTCTCTACGCCAACATGATAATTCTTTACCTCGTGCTGATGGAGTTCCCTTCGGTGCGCGCCGAGGAGCTCATTGCGGATGTCGAAAAGAGTCTGAAAATCTACAACGCCATGAAAGAAGTCGTTGTAGCTCGAAGATGTGCCGAGTTGACTAAGGAAATGCTCACTGTAGCAAAGAGACATCAGCAAGAATTGCGGAGAAGGAAAGAGGTGCGTCGCGATGCGGTAGAAGTTTCGAGTCTTCCTCCACCTGATCGTGATCCTTGGAACGATGGCTCTCTCTCGACCGTTTTGAATCAGTCATTACCAGGCTGGGACAAGACTGCCAGCCTAGCGCATCTGTACGATCCCAGCGTTCTTGAGCAATTTGCATTGTCAGCCAACAGAGAAGCTGACGGGTCTGTCGACACTTTCATGGACTTCTCAACCGGCATTGGTGACGAAAGATCAATTACTGGTCCGATGTGGGGAATCTTCGAACCCTTCGAGGAGAACTGGTTGAGTGGAAATCAACCGGATAACTAGGCTTGAATCATATAGACCACGTCGAGGGTGACTCTAACTATGTTATAACCAAGATGGATCCTTCATGCTCTCTATTTTCGACTGAGGTAGGAACCCTTCCAACCCTGTGTCCCAAGGATATAGCAATCTTTCCTTGGCCCTACCACTGAGGACCTTAGATCTTGAAGATTCACTCTTGTTCCTTGCGTCCTGATCATACCTGTCGTAGTCATGACTGCCGCCAGGGTCGTCTTCAAGGTCTCTGTCAACTTCAATCCAGTGTTGATGGGCTCTCAGTTCGGTGACCACGTGTCATAGCGTTGAAATCGAAGCGGTGATCACGCTCAAGTTGGGTTTGCAGTAAAAGGTACGGGTAACGTTGGATCAATCTAGGGGTCATAAAGTTGATCGATTCTCAAGGATGGAGAGTTCTATCTGTGACATTAGAGGCCTTGAATATCAGCGATGGCCGCCGTACCAAGAGGCCTTCAGAATAGCTTAATCGGGTTAGTCCAATATGTAATAGCCCGCGGATTAGAAAATGATGAATGAATAGCTAAGATATGCTGTAACAAAAAGATTTCGCATGCCTTTGAAGGACCAGGGAGCCAATGTCTCTGACAACAAAGCTCCAAGCAGGTAACCCCCATCCCTAAACTAGAAGACTGGGGATATTCTGGCAGTGAAGATAAAGGTCGCCAGCAAATAAACGCCTCATGTGGCTGCACGAAACCAAAGGCTGTAAAAAAAAAAAAAGGTCGCATTTCAGGGTTGTCGAGCGATATAACCACCCACACCCACACCCACGCCCACACCCACAAGTGCGATATCCGTGCGGGAGAATCGTGATACTGCTGTCTCATGGTGGGCAACGGAGAGCAGGATGTTGGCCGATGGGAGCTAGTGGATTAGCGTGATGGATAGTCTGTTGCCTTGTTAGCTGCATCTCTGTGTTTCGATGGTTGTGTTGCCTCTGCAATGGCCGGGCTTGACGGACACGACATGAGATAGAACTCCACCTCCACCGTATTTGAAGAGTGAGAAGTTATTGGATTTGAAAGCAATTTGGTAGACCTGTTACCTTTCCTTATCTGGTTATTGGATCGGACTTAACCGTTGTAAGGTACTTTAAAGTTGATGTTCGATTGGGCTTATGGGATTTGTACCTCGTATGGATCCCACTCTCCGACGTCACACATCTTCTTACGTCCTTCATTCTTTCTCCCTCCCCCTACAGCCCAACTCGGCCACGGCTTGCTGAGTCTGGAGAATAAGAAACTCCCTACTCTATGTAATACCAAATGCACGGAGAGCTTGCCAACAAGCTTGTAAGTTTTTCATGCGCATCTCTCCTTGGCCCGACCGGGCTCTTTGTTTTGGCACTCAAGACGCGTTTTAATTCCCTTCGCTTTAACAGGTCCAACACGCAAAACGCACCCTCACGCTCCCGGCCCTGCCTCCCTATCAGACAGAACTCGTGCGCTCCGTGGTGCGCGAGGTGCGCGACCTCGACCGCGATGTGAGCCGGATTCTCGAGCCGTTTACCACAACCGCGTACGACGAGGAGGGGAACCCGTCGTCGCAGAGCACGTTCAATCCGACCGACCACCCGGCCACGGCGTGCGCGCTGCTGGTCGACCACCTGAGCATGAGGAGGGATAAGCGGTGTCTGCTCGCGTACCACCGGGTGCGGGCGGAGAAGTTGGAGGCCATGGTGTGGGACGGGCAGGACTTGGACGTTGTGGGACCGGGCGCCGACGCCAGTGCTAACGCCCCGAATACAAATCTTCGCGAGGACATCACAGTCGGGCCAGGGACGGGGACGCACAACTCGCTCTCGCCGGAGGAATCCTCGTATTTCCACGCCTACGTCGACTTCCTGTCGCAGTACAAAGGCCAGTGGACGGACGTCGACCTGACCGGCTCGCTCGAGCCGCCGCGCGACCTCTTCATCGACGTGCGGGTGCTCAAGGACGCGGGAGAGATCCAGACAGAGTACGGAGCCATCAATTTGACCAAGAACTCGCAGTTCTTTGTCCGGAAAGGAGACGTGGAGAGGTTGATCCAGGGCGGGTTCTTGAAACGGTTGAGCTGAGATGCATCGGATTGAGGAGAAAGGGTGGACGGGGTTGATGAGGCCTATGGTATGAGAAATGACTACGGCGCGACTAAACTACATGCTCATGATCCATCACATTTGCCTTGTGCCATGCTAATCCATACATACTTGTATCAGAATCTCCTAGTGGTATCATCTTCCCTTTAAAAGACTGGCCGGACTCAGCTAACCCATTGATACCTCACCGAGGTTCCATCTCCACAAGGTTTCGGAAAGTTGCACAGATCTATTGCCATTGCGGATCATCATCAATATCATTGTGAAGTGCTGCATGCTTGAAGATTCTGTCCTTCGCCGTATCGGCCTTTGCTCTTGGTCTCGCTCTCAAATCAGGCTGCTTGCTATAGTGAGGAGAGACAGGCCAGCAGCAAACACCACCACAGATTCCCAACTCATCGCACCAACGGCGGCCGCGACGTTGTTTGTCTGCGAAGTTGTAGGTGCAGTGGTGTTGGTTTCATTCGAGTTCCCCCCGGTGGTGGAGTCCTGGGTCATCATTTGAACGAAATTGCCGCAGTTCAACCTCGTCCCGTTGGCACTGTGCACCACCACACTCCTATTTCCGAAGAAGGCGGCGTTGCTGGGATCCGTGCTCACGTACAGATCGAGGTACATAGCCTGGAAAGTGCCCACCGCTTGCGAGTCGGCGGAAGCGGAGGAGGTGAGGTGGGAGGTGTTACCGTGCTTGCCGGAGAGGTCGCCTGGCTGGCAGGTCCACGGGGCAGTGGGATCACAGGCAGGGTCATCCTGTCGGCCAAACGGCGAGAGGTGACCGCCCGTGGCGGTGCAGTTTCCTGATGCGGGGACGGGGTATTCGTGGATATGGTATTCTGCGTTGGAGAGTTAGTCATCCTGTTGAACCCAGTGAGAACTCGGGCTCGGCCGGACAAGATGTGAGGGCTGTGAAGAATTTGATCGGGTTGCCAGACTCCAAGAGCCAGTGGGAACTCACTGAAAGGACCCTGCATCACGTCTGGGAAGTCGAAGAAATTGACGTTGAAGTTGACGCCAGTGCCGTTATCGTTGGATACCCCCGTGAGCTGGCCCTGGACAGGTCTATCGACTTGGAGAACTGCTTGGAAGGTGGTGCGGGAAGGATTGGCTTGAGTCACTGGGGCGTTGGTGCTGTTGCTCGTCTCCTGCGCAGTGACTGTAAGGACGAGGATGATGAGTTGGAAGAGCATATTCAAGAGATTCATTTTGCTGGACTGCACGAGCTGGTAGCAGTAGGTAGGAGAGCCCGTGTGGAGTCAGAATGTCGATGCAAGTGAGCAGCAGATCGGGCTTGAAGGCTTTGGAAATGTGAGGGTGGGTGGGAAGAAAATAGCACGAATGGAATAAATTGAGCAATGAAACGGTGGTGGTGTTGCAAAGAGAGGTGCAAGACGACGTCTTTATCGTCTCTGGTCAGTGATAGCTGGATTGAAGGTGGATTTGATGTGAAAGAAGGAGGAAGCGACGAAGCGTGTCAGCCCAGCAACCTGCAGGAATTTGGCTTGCGAAGAACTTTTGAATGTCACTGCAAATACCATCTCTCCCTCTGAAATGCTGGGAGACCGCCCACTTGAGCAACCACGTCACGCTTTCCGAATTGATGGGGCAAACATTGTTCACTCATGAGCAAAGCGGGAGAAGTCATGCCCTGGAGAGGCCGGAGAGAGGCGAAGAGACCGCTCCTTGCCCGGTCTGCGCGAGATGTCGCTCTCTTGTCACACAACTCGGGCCGGTTGCCAGAGAACATCACCATCATTCCAGATGTAACGGGAGCAAACACGGCGTTGGAGCTCTTATCCATAGTAACTCAATTTGTTTGCTCGATACAACCAGGTCGATATGGAATGGTTCACAGGCACGGTTCAAGCTCGGTTTCTTTTGTTCATGCTGACTTTGTTTCAGCTGCGCAAGCTCTGTACTTGATCCTCTCGTCCGATATTTTCTTTGCATGGCTCATTGTCCAGAGCCTCTCTTTACATGGCTGTCCGCACCGCACACTTAAAAGGCCTGATCTGCGCCTTGCTGACATCCCACGCCCCTCCCTTTGTGTACGGATCATTCTCCAAAAAGTCCCTGACCTCTTGCTCGGTATTTGCCTTGATCAACATGGCACTGCCCGTCATGTCCGGGGTCTCGCCCTCCGAAGGCTGTTTCGAAAGTGTTGCGCCGCCGAAGACCACGATCCCCGCGTCAATCTTGGGTTTCAGCTCTTGGAGGTGCTGAGGGCGCACCGCCAGCCTTTTTTCGAGGGCGTTGGAGTGATCGGGAATAATGACCAGCCATTCCTTTGTAGGGGCTGAAGAGGAAGCCATGTTTCTGGCAGATCTGAGGCTTTGTGGAGTGGTCGACGGATTTCGGTGCAGCGCTCGCGGTGTCGGAGGGAGACGTGAACAGGGCTGAGAAGGGGGAATGTAGACGCTTTTCAGAGAGTGCAGATGACGGTGACCGCGGAGCAATGTCGACATGAAGCTGAGAAATCAGAGCAATGGCTACCTGGGATCAGGAGTTGATCTGTCCAAGCAATATAATTCTACAGGTATGTGAGACCCAGGACGTTACCAGATCTACTGCGTACTCCGTAATCGGTCGAACTCTTCTCCACACCGAAGGGCGTGAAGCGGGGAAGAATTGCATGAGAGCCTCGTCGATCTTGTGGGGGCAGGAACGAGGCCAAGGATGCTAAGGAGGCTTCAGCCTTCTCACTTCGTCTACTATCTATTTCTGTCAAAAACCTCAAGTTGCTTGTCTTCTCGACTCATCACGCATCGGAAGAGGACCCTTGACCATCAAACCTGTCACACAAAGGACCCCGGGAGTTCAACCCCGACGTGCAGCTTCATCTCGCTTCAATACCCCAGCTCCTCCTCCCTTGTCAGCTCCATCCCATCCCAACTATTCGCGAAAACAT